GCCTTATCCTTATTGTAGTATTTGGTGAATTCTGTCAAGATCATCAGTATCACAGATCATTGCCTGTGTGTTTGTCTGTCAGCAAAATATCTTGAGAGCCACTGGGCGGATTTGAATAAAACTCCTGAAAAGGACTCACTGGATGTATGAATACAGCTGATTAATTTTTGTAGTTGACTGGATTCAAGATGGCTGCTGCAGCTTATCAACCTTAGCCGACAGAAAACTGTCTTTATTACAGTTATGTTTGTTGATATTGAGCTAATACACTGCTCAAAAAAATAAAGGGAACACTTAAACAACGCACGCTAAGTCCAAGTAAATCAAACTTTTGTGAAGCACATTCAACTCTGTACAGAAYAAAGTACTCAATGCGAATATTTCATTGATTAAGATCGGGAGTTAGCGTGCGTTGTTTAAGTGTTCCCTTTATTTTTTGAGCAGTAGTGTTCCCTTTATTTTTTGAGCATTGTATTTGGTGTGGTAGTAGCTCAGAGTCATCCTCAACACATCCTCAAAACAAGCCAAGTTTTATATATTTTAAAAAACTGTTTCGTATACAAACATTTAATGTCTTTTTTTTTTGTATTTTTATCATTATGTTGTGCTTAAAGTTATTTTTATTTTTCTCCTCTCTGTGTGTTCGTCACAAAAGGAACGCCTGTGAACCGTATTCCCATCATGGCCAAGCAGGTCCTGGATCTGTACATGCTCTACAAGCTGGTGACGGAGAAGGGCGGCCTGGTGGAGGTCATCAACAAGAAGCTGTGGAGGGAGATCACCAAGGGACTCAACCTGCCTACCTCAATCACCAGTGCAGCCTTCACCCTCCGCACTCAGTCAGTACCTTGTTCATCTTTTATTGGTTAAAATAAAAGTTGTTCACCTTGAAGACACCCGCAGCTCGTTCTGGATCTGTTAGCAGCCGGCAGGCCACCCCTGAGATTGACACCAGTCAAGTTTTTATAACTTAAGGTAGCTTTAACTGTCGAAGCTCTAATCCTTTAATCCTTGTTCTGCTCAGTGTTTCTGCGAGCGATCGAATGTCAACAACTACTTTGTTTTGCAAATTAACTCTTGTGTGTTGAAGTAATTTCCTGCAGTTGATTCAGGCTATAGGATGTTCTCTTTCCGAGTTAGGAAAAGATCAAATCACATCCTAATCCATTCCTGCAGGAGGCTTGTTAGCACACGGTTGGAGCTGAAATAGATTTTCAGCTCGAAGCCAAATAACTCCAGAAGAGCTGGTCGTGTCTTTAAGAGCGTCTCGTTTAAGAAAAACAACAACTCTTGTTTGTTTCAGATACATGAAGTACCTGTACCCGTATGAATGTGACAAGAGAGGTCTGAGCAACCCCAACGAGCTTCAGGCGGCCATCGACAGTAATCGGCGGGAGGGCCGGCGACAGAGCTTCGGCAGCTCCCTCTTCACGTACTCGCCCAACGGGACGCCCACCATGCTGTCCTCGCCCAAGGTCCCCACACCCAGTGTGGGGCTGGCAGTGGGCACCAACGGAGCCTCGCTGACCTCCATCCAGAAGATCAAGAAAGGTGGGAGTCCTGCAGAACAGGAGAGCTGGAAGTCCTGAATAATTGATTTGTTGCATTCCGACAGGGATTTAAATTACTGTTAGACGAACACTGACACGAATGGTTCAGTTTATCTTTATAGAGTTTATTTAATTAAAGAGCTTCATTTAATTTCAATCAAAAAGAACCATGACAAGTAACACTTAAATGAAGTCAGATGACACCTGTAACACCTCTAATTTTTTACTTTTTAATCAAACCTGGTGAAGAAAAATCATGAAGAGAAACTAAAGTAAAATTGAAAAGATTTTTTGATTTGCTGCTAATTACAAATATTCGTTTTGTTGGTACTTTTTAAACAAAAAAAGTTCAAAAACTAAACTGATGATTTGTCTTGTCAATCTCAGAAACTTTAGGGCGGGTCGAAATGTGTTTTGGAGAATTCCAGTCCTTTTCGGCTGATAGACAGCCCCCTCCTGCAGTGTTAGCAGCTGTGACTCAATAGATGGTTTTCATTGACGTCACCATCCGGGACTTTTTTACCCTCCGCACCCCGTTCGTGGGCTACTATTTAGCTTGTAGCGATAAAACCAGTATGGGAGAACCACAAAAGCAAGGGAGAAAAAATGCAAAGAGGCCACTACACATCGAGCATAACCAGGATAATAATACTTTGTATTTAAAACGTTCCTTTCAGGACACCCATGGATCTACTGAATAATAAATCTAAATCAAGGTATTTAGCTTTATTGAAAGTAGCGATCCTCACGAGCTGCTGAAGTTTGCAGAGCCGACACAGAGGCTGTGTTGACATGCCTCTGTGTGACTGATGAAATTTTTGCTGCAACGAGATGTTAAATAAAATGCAAATACGCTGATACTGAAACTAAACACAAATTCTTAATATTTTTTATTTATTTACATGTAACGTTTTTAACTGTGAAGTTGTTCCTCCATGAAAAGTTGTGTGAATACACGTTCCAACACATTTTATGTCTGGAGGTCAAAGTAAGCTGCAGCCCCTCAACTGAGACACACTCACTGATAGTTTTGGCAAGCTTTCAGACCCCTGTAATGGCTTTTTCCCCAAAACGCAACTGGCGACAAATCTACCGGCTTTTCACGGTGTTATTAGAGACTTTTGGCGACTTCACTTTCTGCAGCGAGCGGCGCCGTGATCCCCTCCCCCTCTCTTGAGTACTGATGAGCGATCCGACTCAAAGTCTCGTGCAGCAGCTGCAGTCAGAGCAGAGAGGAGTCCCGCTCTGCTCCGTGTCCACCGCTGCCAATGAATCACTGCGTTTGACTTGCATGTCTGCTTCTGCATCGAACAGTGTTTGGTTTAGTTTTGATTTTCTTACAAAATGTATTTACAGAATATGGATCGAATCAAAGCATTGATGTCGTCGAGTTATTTTATTGAGTTTGTTTGCAGTTCTAAACATCTTTAGAGTGTTTTTGTTCACTTAATGTTTTCTTCTACATTCTCAATCCCAATTGTTTGCAAATGTCATAAAATGCGAATTAGTCATTTAGCTGCTTTTAGGAGAGCCAATGGCAACTTTATTTTTATTATTTTTTATTTTATTCATTTATTTTACTCATTAAAAAATCATACAAAATATTTTTAAAAAAAACAAGCACATCAAGTTATGAATGAGAAAGGAGCAGAGTGAAGAATTTTTTATCATAGCTACCCTCTTTTTTATTATTGTTAAAGGTTATTGTTGTTAAAGTTTGCTTTATGAAACTTTGTTTTTTTTTGTTGCCAGTTTTTGACAGGGTTGTAAATGCGAGTTTTAATTTCAATGGGTTTTCTCAAATAAAAGAATAAATTAAAAAATAAAATAACAAACTAAAGCTTTAACAATCTTCCGAATTACAAAAAACAAAAACATCAAGTGTTTTTAATATCTTATTTCCATTAAGTACTACATGGTATCATATTTTTTTATTAAATTTGACTTAGTCTCTTTTTTGAACACATAGATTGTTTTGGAAGTTTTTATATCAAAATCAAGACAGTTCCATAAACCCTGAATTACAGTGCAGCAACCCTTCAGACTAGTCTGAAATGGAGGTTTTGAAAATTTCCTTTCCTCAAAGTTTGTATCAACTTTTCTTATTGAGGAGCTGGCATCAGACTTTTTATGGATCTACAGGAACTCTGCAGATCCCTAAAAAATCTGATCCTTAAAAAGGCACTGAATTCATCAATTTAAAAATAAGGTCTTTAAAATGTCTTAAATCAGTCTTTCAGAGGTCTTTAAATGTTAACACATTGTAAGTAGGAGTGTAATTAGTCTCAAATATTAAAATAATTGTAAACATGTATTTACATTTTTTTAATTTACAGAAGGCCTATAGCAGCGAGTTGTTTTGTGTTTGAATAAATATTTGAGAAAAATTTTTGCTAACTGCTTTTTTTCCATTTGTGTTTATGGTCTCTAATTTCATTTAAAGATGCATTAAAGAGGTCTTAAAACGTGTTACATGTAACTTTCTTTAAGCTGTAGAAAGCCTGAGTACCCTCGTGGGTTTTATTTACATGAAACCCATTTAGATTCAAAATGTAACATTGTGATTAGAAAGTGACAAACCTTGTCCTTTAAATTCAACTTGAATGGTTTTGGTTAGTTTCATTGTTCTACCTTAACCACAATCTGTCTGCTCAACCTCAGCACATCTGAAAATAAACAACAAATAATTTATTTTTTTTCTTTTTTAAGTTACTGTATCACATAGTAAAGGAGTACAGGTTCAATAGTTGATTCTATCTCTATCAAATCTTTGTTTTAGTGAGTTACCAGCAGATTTATCTGTCTGTACGATTAATGTTGAACTGCTGCTTTAGTTCAGCAGGAATAGTTTTTTTTTTTGGTCCAAAATCCAGCAGCTTGAGTTCAACTGACTTCAAGTTTCCTCCTTTCTGTCTTTGTGGCCAGAAGAGGAGGGAGGCCAGCCGCTGCCGGGGGTGGGCATGGCTCGTCTGCCCATGGGGCCCATGCCGAGCCACTCTGTGGCTGCCGCGCAGGCGGCAGCGGCCCAGGCGGCGATGGCGGCTCAGGTGGCGGCTCTGGAGCAGCTGAGGGACAAACTGGAGGCAGGCGAGCCGCCGGAGAAGAAGATGGCTCTGCCCGCCGAGGAGCACCACCGGCTGCTGCAGAGAGCCCTGCAACACAACCTGCTGGCCATGACCGCTCAGATTCCCATGAACATCCGCATCAACAATCAAGGTACTGAACCCTCAGTGGGAGTCTGAGTTCAGCAAACCTGAAACAAACGATGCAAGATAGGAATCTGTTTTATGTCTCTTCTACCCTGTCGGTTTAGAAAACTCTTTTATCTGAAGCGAGCTGGGTTAAAAGTACTCCACTTCTGTAGCATCATCCGAGTTCACAAACTTTTTTATTTTTACACGCTTTGTTAGATGGAACAGTGTTTTTACTTTTGCTCTATAAGGCAAGGAGAACTGCTTCATTAAAGTAGAAATTATCATTTTTTATTTAACGTTTTTATCTGTTATACTTATTTATTTACCGTTATTTTACCAGGCAAGTCCCGTTGAGATCTCAGATCTCTTTTTCAAGGGCGGCCTGGGCCTGAAGGAAACCTATTGTACATGTTTTGGGTGGTGGGGAAAACCAGAGTACCCGGAGAAAACCCACAGAAGCAGGAGGAGAACATGCAAACTCCACACAGAAAGACCCCAGGTCCGAACCGGGGATCGAACCCAGGACCTTCTTGCTGTGAGGCGTCGGTGCTAACCACTGAGCCGTTGTTCCGCCGACAAGAAACTTCAGAAATGCCGACAACACTTGAGAAATCTACTTATTTCCATCAGTGTCACCGCCATCTTATAGAGAATTAAGATAAAAGAGGATTTAAAATATAAAAAATCTAGTTAAAGTAATTTAAATCAATATTCAGCTGTGTCTGCTTTAAACCAAGTTCATCTTTAAAAATCTTTCTATTATTGCACAATATAATCAGCTGAAAGACAAAAAAAATCCCCATTGTGTTACCAAATTACAGCTGTGGTTGGCATCACTGTTAACTGTGCCTTTCATTTCTGCCTGTCTGAACTCTGGATTTCACACATCTTTCCCTCTTTGCAACAGTTACCATCTCAATACCTTCTTGTCATCTGACCACAAACCACAGCAGCCAGCAGTGAGGAAGAAACCCACTGCCGGCCTATATGTTGACCTGTTTAAGCTTACAGGAGCAGCATGCATGCATTCATGCAGTACATGTGTGCTTGTCTTTGTGGGGATTCTCTTCTGCAAGCAGACGCTTTGATCTTATGGCACGGTTTGTCTCGGTTACTGACTATCTGATGGAGCACGCAAACTGTTTCTCAGTAAGCGACACAGGTGACTTCAGAGAAATGTTCTTAAGGAGATTTTTGAAAGAGATCTCGAACAAGGTGTTCGTGCCACGGGAAGGCCTTTTCCCACATTCTCGCATTTAGTTTGTGAGATTTCTTTAGGAGAGCCGAAGCAAAACGAAAACAACTCAGAAAGCTGTTGTCTTCCTGACAGATGGCAGACAAGACTCGGCTCTGAACCTCACCACTAACGGCACAAGCAGCATCAGCATGTCGGTGGAGCTCAATGGAGTGGTGTACACTGGTGAGTACCCCTGTCATGTGGTACAGGATGTACGGCTCATCGC